AAAAGACATCCTGACAGCTGGGCAGTCTCAACATCCGTTGAATGACATTAAATGCCTAGCAATATAGATTGAAGTGAATTGCTGAGAAAATTCTGGTTAAAGTTGAATGTAAATATAGGCAATTGTGTATCAGATTTACAGACTGCTAATGATAATTTAACAATAATAATTTATTACACTCATATTGCACAATTATCAATGGAGAATTTTCAATTGCGCATAAGAGAAAATCTACAGCACCAGGTATTCCCAGGCAGTCACCCATCCAAGTACTAACCTGGCCCTACTGGGCTTCACTTCTACCTGGTAACAATAGACCCCTTTCGAATTCCAAATTACTGCTGTGTTTCTTGATTACAGACTCATTTGCACAGGGTTAGCCTCGAGTTTGTGCAGAATATACACGTGTTCCAGTCAAGGTCCGTTGAGTTTCAAAATGTTTGTATTGTTGAAGTGGTGCATTCTTTACGTTTCTGTTGGTATTTGTGAATATTTAAACACTGATATTTTACACAGGCTAAACCTGTGCAAATGAGTCTATAATCAAGGAACGCAGCGGTAATTTGGAATTCGAAACTGGTCTATTTCTTGACTTCTACAGTGTACCTAGTAATAATTTCTGTTGTGCTTACCTCCTCAATTATTAGTAATTTGATCATAATAACTATTAGGAAATGGCAGGCTATGAATACCGTAAATCCATCCATCAAGCGGTACCAAGGTTGAAGATACTGGATGACGAACCGTTCTTAGTGGAGAAGGTTGGTGGGAAGGACGTTTTGAGAGACATGCCAGAATCTGCTAAGAGTGCAAGGGTACCTAATCACTTAAAGGAGGAATGGCAGCTGATTAGTAATGCTCTCAAAACAGTAGAGAATGAGCAGGAGGAAACAGGTATGTCATTATCATCATCATCATCACCACCATGATCATCCCCATCAGCATCTTCATTATCATCCCCACCACCATCATCATCATTCACCATCATTATCATCACTTTCACCATCATCACTATCATCATCAACATCATAATAATCACCATCACCACCATCACCACCATTATTTTTATCATCATCATTCATCAATATCATTACACCACTATTTTAATGGTGCTGCTTCTGCTGATATGATGAAGTGTCAACTTGCTCATCAGAACCATCCAAACCAGTAGCAGCAGCAAGGCCAGCATCAGCCAGGAAAAATACCAGACCCAAAACAGCCATGTCCAGGCAGAGACCATCATCAGCCATGAGGCAACGTCCAGGAAGCTCTATTGGTCAGCGTCCAGGTTCATCTTTAGGTTCTTCTGGTAATAGTTTTGAGCTGTCTGGTATATTTCAGGGTGATGACAGCAGCGATCTTACCCATGGTAGGATTTGATTTACATTTTAGAATATGAAGTACTGTACTTAAAAGGTACCAAAGTGTGATGTCATGAAATTCTGGATTTTGCAATTCCATGTTCAGATGTTCATGTTAGAAGAGAACAACCACATTGCCTTATACATTTCTTCAATGCATGTCAAAAAATGTCCKGAAAATATTGCTCCAAGATTATCAGAAGTACTTACTAGTATTACACTTTTGGCTTTTGCACCACACAAAGTCTCTTTTTTATGATTGTTTTCTTGTTTAGGTTCTGGTGAGGTAATCTGTGGAAATATCTCAAAAGCCCTTAAGGCAAGAAGAAAGGTTAGTACCTGTCATATATGTCTGACTGACTGACTGAATGAATGAATGAATGAATGAATGACTGACTGAATGACCAACTGACTGACTGACTGACTGACCGACTGACCAATCCACTGATTGACTGATTGACCGACAGACGGACGGACGGGCTGACTGACTGACTGACCGACCAACTGACGGACTGACCGACCAACCGACCGACTGACCGACCGACCGACCGACCGACTGACTCACTAATTCTGTCTCATTCATTCATTCATTTATATTTCTTATTTTTAACGGAATATCAAAGCTTTTAATTCAGTTATCCCTCCTTTTACCACCAACTCACCAATTCATACTCCTGAAAAAAGCTATGAAGAAGAAAACAACAAACAATTCCCTTCAAAACACGATGTCTTCACGGAGCTGAGGGAATGGAGGCAACAGTTTGCAAAGTGAGTGACAA